CTGTGAGGGGAAGGAAGAAACATCTTTGTGCTACAGTCAAGAACAGACTTTTCTGGATGATAGAAGCCTGATCAGTCCTAAATAACTGAAGCACCTGGAATTCCAGAGCAGTTTGAGCAAACAAATTATCAAGCTGCAAACAGACTTCAAGCAATCCCTGCAAACTGAGCGCCCCCCAGTGTGATTTGTCTACAGCTTGGGAGCACTGAATTTCAACAGTAATCACAAGAATACTGTTTTTCTATCCTTGTTGGTTGTAAGCTACATTTTAACAACTCCATTTTTTTTTTCCTTAAGACAAATCCAGAGGATTTTGTGAATCAGGCTATTTGCAGCAAGTGGTCCTTCCTGAAGTCAGGAATGGCTCACAGCAGCTGCAGCAGAATAAATAAAGGCCTGCAGGTCTTTGCCTTGTGACTTGCATCATGCATCTTACATGAACAGCAGCAAACCTGAACTAGAGGTTACTGTGGACACTCGGGTCTAGCTGGGAAAGGCAGCCTGTGCCTTTGCAAGATGAGGGCTGGCAAAAACAAGCAACTACCACAGCTGGAGCCTTGGTAGCTTCCACAGTGCCACCAGACCAAGTCAGCACTCAGGAAAGTTTTTCCCCCCTCAGCCTGCCCTCATTGCAAAGGGCACTGCAGGCGTGGAAGGTTGCAACACTGTATAACCCATACTGTAACCCTGTCCTAAGTAAGGAGAAATCAAGAGCTATTTCCAATTTAGATTTGCAAAACCAAGCCAGGCTTAAAGCCAGCATTAGCCCAGCCAGTCAACTTCAAAACCCCATGTGCAGCTGAGCTGCTGGGCTGTGTGTTCAAGAGGAGTTACTGCACAGGACAAGTAATTAAGGAAAGTTATTCCAAGGTAAGTAATAACCAGCTCTGTGCAGCCGTGTCTGCCCAGCACTATTCTGTCACTGGATAGAAGGCACAGAAATACAGCAGTGCCACTGTGCTACTGCCTGCCTGGAACACTCCATGAACAGAGACCACTGAAACAGCTGGGGGTTTATTATGTACAGAGAACACGGTGCAATGCAGTACATCTTCAGCCCAGCTTTGTAGCCAGCTCTTTAGCCTTTGCTTTTTCCAGCTTCGCAATGCGAGCCACCGATTTTGGACCCAGGACATTCCCGCCCCAGTGACGACGGATCTGCAAGGAAGGGACAACAGGTTAGAGACCTCACTGCATCTCTCACTGTGGCACTCAATTCTGCACAAGGGGAAGAGCTCTCTCAACTAAAAAGTCCTAGAGACCTCACTGCATCTCTCACTGTGGCACTCAATTCTGCACAAGGGGAAGAGCTCCCTCACTAAAAAGTTGCACACTTCAAGCACTGCACTACATTTTGGGGCAGCAAAGATTAAAGCTTTAAGTCTTTCCCAATGAGGGATGTTGGATTCAGCTATCCCATAACTCCTGGATTTGGGATATGGAGTTTAGGTAGCAAAAGCTGTTGCCCTCTCTACAATCCTTGCCCTAGGGTTGCTGTTTACTTCTAACCTGCTGACAGCTTTCACATTTTACCCCATCCTCAGGTAGAGAATCTGGGTACACTGTAAGCAAACCTAGGTATAACACGATGTCACTATGTCCCATTTCTCCCTTCTGGGAACGGTAACAGTGTAAAAAGGCAAGGCCAGCAGCACAGAGAATCTTACCTCATCATATCTGTCATTGTAGTTGGTCTTGACAGCCTCCACCAGCTTTGCAAGGGCTCCCTTATCCTCCCTGTTGATGACAGTTTTAGTTCCTTTAGAGCCTTGATTTAACATTTTCCATCAATATTTTGCCACAGAATTTAAGAGCTTCTAGTGACAACCCAATTTTTCAGGTTAAGCAAAAGCACGACTTACGAAGGGTTAACACTCAGAATCTGCACTGCTCAGATTTTAGAGTAACCACCCTTTTGGTAAACCAAAATAATCTGCACTTTCAGAATTTGACAGACATTTTTATCAGACACTACAGAAATGGTATTTTAAATTTAACTATTTCAGAGAGACCCAAGTTTGCTACCCATCTGCCTAGAGCCTGTGCTTAGGGCAGTTTGCTTTGTCCACAAGACAATCAAGAGAGCTCCCAGAACACTTACGGGTTAACCTGGGTGAAGGCCACGGAGGTGCAGGTCTTCCTGTGGACCAGCCTGCCCAGCCTGGCTTTGCCCTTGATGATGCAGTAGGGGACCCCCATCTTACGGCACAGGGCTGGCAGGAAAACCACCAGCTGGAAGGGAAGGGAGAGCTGAGTACCATGGAGAGAACACCCCTTGGTGCAGGCTGTCAGCCTGGGCTGTGGCAACTGCTCAGTGTTAAAAAGCTCGTTTTGCTCTTCACTGCTGCTTCAGGTGAAGAAATTCAAAACATCATTGCAAGGGCCCAGCCTCACTGTCCAAGCAGGACAACCACCAACATGCACAAGCATACAGTTCTGGCAGATGTTTTGGGGTTTTTTTGTGCATTCTCTTTCATGCAATTTGTCCTAAACCCCATTTTTTGCCTTAAAAGCACTTCTGACCCCACCCTGAGTTACACAGGTAGCCTGTAACATGCTCACCTCAATGGGGTCTACATCGTGGGCAATAACAACAAGCTGAGCTTTCTTGTTCTCCACCAGAGTTGTGACAGTATTGATACCTGAAAAACAAGTTCTAGATAAGCTTTGATTCCTCTCACTTTTCAGAGCTTTCTTACAAGCCAACTCTGATTCCACAGCACAACATCACTATGGCAGTTACAAAAACTTTACAAAAACATCAGTGGCAAAGACATTTCATGGACAATTTGCTAAAGCTCAGGGTTAAAAAGCTCGTCTATTTTGCTCTTCACTTTGAGCTCAGGTGAAGAAATTCATAACATCATTGCCATAGCTTGTCCAAGGCTGGCTGAAGAACCAACTCTTCATCAGTTTTCTCTGTCCCACACTCCCACACTGCAGCAGCTCAGGTACAAAGTTACCTGCTCGGAGGACGGGCGGCCGCTTGGTTGGAGCATCTCCCTTTCCTGCAGCCTTCTGCTCAGCACGAGCCAGTAGCCTCTGCTTCTTCTCTTGCTTATTTTCAGGCCTGTATTTGTGTGCCAGCTTCAGGAGCTGCGTGGCTGGAAGAGAACACCTACTAATTAGTTGCATGACCTGAAAATCTAAGCGTTCTTTTTAAAAAACACCGCAGTGCATCAGCGATCTTGGTGGTTGTCATCACAATTTTTTTTCACAGCAAAAAGTGATCATCATCTGCACAGTCCCAGAGAAGAGCACCCTGAGAGCCCCTGTTTGCTCTGATGGCACTGAGGGCTCCTTGACTGGATGAGGAAATGCCTGGGGACCCCCACAGCAATTATGGTTAGAGGTAGTGCACTGGCTCTTTAAAGCAAGGAACATGCATGAGAAGGAAATTATTCTACACAGGTCCAAAGTTTTTTGCATTCACAGAACACCCCTAAATCCCTTCTTCCTTCAGTGCCAGTTTTCCCCCAAAACCTGCACTCCCATAGATGTCTCAAGCAATCTGTTTATACCACCCTGGGTAGGTCTACATCAAGCTGGAAGAATGGAATCAGTTAAGCTTTAATACAGGGTTTGGGTCAGTAAATAGAGCTTTGGTATCTTCTAAACCCCCTTTCAGGGTACACAGCAGCAATCCAAGATTTAAGCCAGCAAATTAATTTTACCACCACCCTGGTTGCTATTAAAGCCTCCCTAAAACACTTCCGCAGACACAGCCCTGTTTACTTCGTTAAGGCTGATTTTGGTTTCTTTGCCCTTTTCTGAGGCACAGCCCATTTACAACCCCGGCCAAGAGAAGCTTGTGGGGCACATGCTCACCTGTCTGGCGGTCCAGGGCCTGGGTGAACTGGTTGATGGCAGGAGGCACCTTGAGGCGTTTGTAGAGGATGGACCTCTGGCGCTGCAGCCGAATGTAGCGCGGCCATTTCACAAACCGCGTGAGGTCACGCTTGGGCTGGATATCCTGTCCTGAAAAAACAGCCTTTAGCTCAGGGCTGCCCCAAATCCAGAGCAGCAGCAGCAGCATGGGAAAGGCACAGGAGCATCAGTGATCTTGGTGGTAATGTGTCAGCACGACCACTCAGATAGCAAATATTCTTTCACATCATCTGCGCCTTGTACAAGAACAGCACTGCACAAAGCCGGCAGTGGTTTTTAGTGTTTATAACTTAATCTGTTCATCAAACAAGAAAAAAAGCCACGGGAGCAACTATCCCAAATATCCACTTACTCACCAATGCCAAAGTTCTTGGGCCTCTTCTCAAAGAGGGGATTGACAACCTTCTTGGCCTCCTGCTTCTTGACTACAGCAGGGGCCGGTGCCACCTTCTTGCCCTTGGCCTTCTTTCCTTTCGGCTGCAAGAAAGAAACACACTTGGTCTTCTTTTGCCTCCAAAACTTGCGTGCTTGGAAATTCCCAGCCCACCCTGGGAATCCATTTGTTTTCCCAGGCATTTCATCAGCCTGGCGGCCTCCCATGCTCGCCCTCCTCTTCCAAAGAGAGAGCAAATCCATCCCTTTAGGTTTACAAGGTTTATAAACCACCCGAGAGGAAAAAAAGATTAAAACGAGCGTGATGATCACTTCGCCCGGCCTAGTGCTCCCGAGAGCAGCCAAGATACCCCCACGGCGATTTACTGACCACCGGAACCCGACCTACCCCGGGAAGGCCGTGCTCCCGGGGCCGCAGGCTCCCGGCCCGGGCTGCCAGGCCCGTACGCGGCCTTCCCCCATCACCGCAAATCGGGCACGAAACACCGCTCCACCGCCTCCCCCGCTAGCTAAGCGCCCTCGCGGCGCTGCCGCAGCCCATCGGCGGCGGCGGATGACCCCAGATGGCGGCGGATGGCGCCGACACCCCCGCGCCGCCGCCATCACTCACCATCTTGGGCGGCGGGAGAGAAAGGCGGAGCGAGGCATGCCGGGAGATATCTACGGCGCGCGAGGTCTCGCGAGAGCGTTGGAGGGCGGGGCCGGGGCCGTGAGGGGAGGGCGCGGCCATGGCGCAGCCCCGGGTGCTGCCCCAGAGCAAGGAGACCCTGCTGCAGTCCTACAACAAGCGCCTCAAGGACGATGTCAAGTCCATCATGGACAACTTCACCGAGATCATCAAGACGGCCAAGGTGGGCCTGAGCGGGCTGGTCCCCCACATGGGAGCGCCCCGGGTGCTAAGCGGAGAAGGGCGGGGGTACGCGAGGAATGAAGGGGCTGTGAGGGGAGAACCTTTTGTAGAATCCCCGAATGTTAAAGGCTTTAAAGGGATCTTAAACATTGTCTCGTTCCACCCCCTGCCGTAGGCAGAGACGCCTTCCACCAGACCAGGTTGCTCCAAGCCCTGTTCAGCCTGGCCTTGGACACTGTATGAGTTCCACCAGACCAGGTTGCTCCAAGCTCTGTTCAGCCTGGCCTTGGACACTGTGTGAATTATACAGATGTAAATTTCACATACATAATGTGTGATCTCATTTCACATCTCTAGGAAATTCACACATGTATCTAAATCTATAGGAAATTCACACACATATCCACATCTATAGGAAATTCACACACATATCCACATCTCTAGGAAATTCACACACATATCTAAATCTATAGGAAATTCACACACATATCCCTATATATATTCCCATATGTTGTACCTTATAACATAGTAATTGTCTATTTGGATTTTAAGTATGTAGAGGTAGATTTGTTTATTTTTTTCTTTAGATTGAGGATGAAACTCAAGTCTCTCGAGCAACCCAGGGTGAACAAGATAACTACGAGATGCATGTCAGAGCTGCAAATATTGTGAGTATCACTGTACTGTTCAGACCTGTGGGCAGCACATCCTGCAGGGGCTCTTTGGTTTATTTTTGGGTCTTTATAACACTCCTAAGGACTGCTGCCAGGAGAGTAACTTCATGTTTGGGGCGGCTGGGCAAGGCTGGGTCAGAATTCCCTCAGAATCCTCATATTGTGGGAGTTTTTATCCAAAGTTTGGGCTGAAGGAGCAGCTCGGGAGGTGCTGGAACTGGAGCAAAGCCCTGATGTGATGTGTGATTTTTCTCACTGCTGCAAGGTCCGAGCTGGCGAGTCCCTGATGAAACTTGTGTCTGACCTGAAGCAGTTCTTGATCCTCAATGATTTCCCCTCCGTGAACGAGGCCATCAACCAGCGCAACCAGCAGCTGAGGAGTCTGCAGGAGGAGTGTGACAAGAAGCTGATTGCCCTGCGGGATGAGATCTCCATTGACCTGTACGAGCTAGAAGAAGAATATTACTCTTCCAGGTACAAATAGGGCAGTGGACTCTGCCTTACAACTCCAGGCCTTTTTGGGGTAGTTAGTCCAGACTATCAAACAGCCCATACAGTATAGGTGTTGAGAATGTTCCCCAAAAATTTTTCAGTCCTATTTTTAATTAGGTCAAACTCTTTTTCTCCTACTGAAGCAGCTGCCTTTTCCTTGTAGATACCCTACAGGGGTTAAATATCCTGGTGAAGGAGGTGTTCACAGCATCCCAGGTTTGATAGGTAATTTCCTTAGCCTTCTGTTGTAATCATTAGAAAAGAAGATGAATTCCCTTGGGGGAAATCCCTCTGAAGGAGCCTCTGGCTCTCTCCCTGCAGAGACCAGCTTGCTGAGCTGGGTCCTGGTGTCACCTCACCTTTGTGGTGAGTCCTTTCACAAGTGACCTGGTCACACCTTGTGCCTTTTCTGTCACAGCCCACTGCCCCCAGCTGCCTCCAGTCCTGCTGGGGTCAGCATTTGCAAGGAGCAAAAAGCCTCGCTCAGTTTCATTGAATTATGAAGTATTGTGATAGGATTTTCTAAGGAATGACTTATTACTGATTTGTTTGTGGGATTTTTAATATTTTTAAAAGCCTCTTATTTAGCAAACAGACCTTAGAGAATTCAGACACTTTATTATTTTTTTTTTTGTCATGCACTCCAGCACTTCTAGTTAATGAAAGCAGAAGAAAACAACTGTAAACCTGGTTATTTTGGCTGCACTTTCCAAGCTAAGTGAAGTCAGTGCAATAATTCTAGGACTTTTAAACAAACACTTAACTTTAAAAAAATTTTACTTAAAATTTTACTGACCAGGTTTTCTATGTTTGCCTTTTCCATTTTTCTAAGAATGCTGAATGCCTGTAACCCCAGCTAAGTCAACTAAATTGCTCAATATCTTTGAAAGTAAGGCCTTTGTTTATGAGTAATATATGTATTTTAAGAGTAAAAAGATAATAATATGACACAGCTTAGAGGTAAAAGTTTAGAGTTGCTTTTCAAACTTCTTTCAGTTTTTTGAGGAGGTTGTGATGATCACAAACCCAAGCACCTGTGCAGGTGCTGATAGGTCCATGACATAGCATTGAGTTTATCCACAGGGATGTGGTGTGGGATGAGAGTGCCCCACATGTGCCAGGCATGCTTCCCTCACCCTGTCCCCAGGCTGCCACCACTGTCACTTCTGCACTGAGGGGTTCTGGCCATGCTGGCATGGTCTGTTCACCTGCCTGGCCCCAGGTGCCACATAAAGCATCCCTTGCTGGCAGAACTAACATGGAAGCACAAATCTTGGTGTACATCAGGTGGATTTGCCTTCCTGCTCTTTCTTAAGGGTCATGAGGTGAGGAAACCTGACAGCTCTGCAGAGCTGTGATCTGACACTTTGTTATCATGTAGCACTTGGTCATTTGCTTTTAGCACTTCCTCCCTTCCTGTGCTCTTTCCTGTCTTTTTCTGCACCAAAGAAATTGTGTCTGTGTAAATACAGAAATAGCGATTTATTCAAAGTCCTTTTATAATTAGAATACTACAATATTTTTAATGAAATCTTATTGTCTAATGTGGGGGGAAAGGGTTTCTCTTATGTCACAGCCATGTTTCAGTGGCTGTCAGCACAACAGCCTGTTTGCCCCCAAAGGGGAGTTCCTTGCTGTCCTGGGAATGCCTGCTCAGTTGTAGGGTCAGGTGTTTGCCAGGCTTTTTATGTGCACGTGGGCCTTTTGATGAGACCCAAAAGCAGGTCCTTGAAACTAAACCCGAGAAGATTGTCCTGAAGGAATCTTTGCTTTCCTGCCCTGTGATCAAGTAGTTTTCTAGAGTGTCCCTCTGCCCTCAGACTGGCTGGATCCCTCAGGGGAGTAGTGAAATCCCTTCCACGCCCTGAGGAGCCCTCCCAGGACAGAGCAGCAGGCTGGCCAGTGCCCCTGGGCTGTGCAGAGCTGCTCACTGACCCCGACTTGTGAGGAGAGTTAGCTGAGAGGTGGAGCTTAGACTCTGGAACTGCTCTAAGTGGGGCAGCAGGAGAAGCAGTCATGCCTCTGACACAGCTGAAACGTGGTTAGCAGCTCCCCTGCCATGAAGTGTGGATGCTGTGGTCAGGTTCTCCTGGGAAATCGTGGCCTGAGGTCTGACAGAGCAGGAGTTGTAGTTCTGGTTCAGTCCTGATGGTCTTTGTTAACTGAACCCAGCTCCACTGTATTGGAGGCTGATCTTCCAAGGGATTTTACAGAAGCCCCAGATATAAAACCTGTACCCACTGCCTTCTCACTTGTCCTGCAAAGCCAGCTGGGTGATGCTGCCAGAAAAGAGCTCAGCTTGCACCTAGTGCTTTGTGTGCTTGTTCCCCAAAGTGGTAACTGCAAATCCAGCTTGCCCTCTCTCATCCTAACCCCCAGACCTGCATTTGTGTTCCATTGCTCCCTCCTCTGAGATCACAGGAGCTGTCTTGAGTGTGGGGTTAAATCTCACATGTTTCATGTTTGTGCAATATGAACTGTCTCATATTTCTATACTTAAAATATTTCCCTAAGCATCAGTCCATACATTACAAATGTAAATAAAGCTGCAACAACAAAATCACTTGACCCACTGGGTTTGTTTTTCTCTGAATGCAAGCTGCTTCCTGCTCCAGCACTCACTTTGTCTTGGGTGTCTCTTGTGTGTGCAGCTCCTTCTTCTCTTTGGGATTTGTGTTGGTTTTGTTCCAGTTCCTTCCATGTTTCTTTTTAGTTTTGGCCCTTCCACATTGTTTTCCTCAGAGTATGGGCAGGAATTAGCCAGTTGTTTAAAAACCTTATTTTCCCACACTGCTGGTTCATCCAGTGTTGGAGTCCAGCCAGCTGCTTTTAGAAGCACTGTTAGCTCAGGCTCTTTGGGAAAAGGCAGGAGCTGTCAGTATTTTATAATCAAACTGGGAAGCTTCATTGGAAGATCCAAACCTGTGGAGCACTTTTTTGAAAGGGCAGGCAGGGGTGCAAATAGGATTCTTCTTTACTGTGACAGGGACAGGCCCCAAAACAATTGCGGCAGGTTTTTTTGCTGAAGTAAAATTTTAAGCAGGATTTCTATTTTTTCCTCACATAGGTTGCAGTATAATTCCAAGTAAAATAATTGTGGATAAGGTCCATGTCTCACTTATCAGTAGCAGAAGTTGCATATTTGGGGGTGCCAGGACTTCAGCTCAGATCTTTTCAGAGACTTGGAGTGTCTGGATTAGAATTGAGCCTCTGTGTTATTTTGTAGCCACAGTTCTTCTCTAAAATTACCCCAGTCCTCACCAGGCCCAAGAGATTTTAGCACCAGCCCTTAGGGGGGTGTCTTAGGAAAAGCCAATGTCACATAATTTAGGATAATTTCATGAACACAGACCTTACATCCAGCTTTTTTTTTTTGCCATTTTCTTAATGCTTTGCTTCTATCTTGCTCCCTCCACCCCTTCCATCCCTCCCCTCCTCTGTCACCACACCTGCTCTCTCCTCACTGGGGTTGTTTGTTCTGGAAAGCTACAGTCTGTGTGACAGCAATGATCTCCCACTGTGCGAAGCCTACTGGAGACAAGACTTGGCCACGCTGTCCCCCGAGAGCCTCTCGATGCCTCTGGCCGCTGCCGCCGCCGAGCAGAGCGTTGCCACCTCGCAGAGTTCCACCCCTTCGCACCCGCACGTGAACGGGCACGGGGCGGGCCCCGCCGAGCATTCCTGAAGAGGATCCGCTGCTGCCGGGCCGGGTGGTCCGGGATGGCCCCGCCGCGGCGCCGCGCTGCTGGAAGTCTTCCTCCTGCTGTCGGGAGGAGGCGCTGGAGCTGTGCTGGCAGGGCTCTGCTCCCTGCATGGCTGCAGCGCTTCCTCCGCGCCAGGACCTCGCCAGGAGCGTTCCTGTCCCTTAAGAGATAGAGATATGTAGACGCAAAGTGAATCTCATTATTACAAGTTAGAGTCAGGTTTGCTTTAACGTGATAGTTACGTGTAGAGTTCGTTAGAGGTCTTAGAAGTTTGTTTCCACGTGAGTGTTGGAAGTTGAATTTCTTTGGGATAAACTTGAGCCAAATGTGGGGGCAGTGAGCATGTTGGGGTTTTTACTCTGCTTCCCAAGGTTGTTGACGTTCTGGCTGCTTTAAAGCTCTCTCAGGATGGCATCTGACAACCTCTGGTCTACTGTAAAGAGTCTTATAGTACTTTTACACAACAGTCTTCACTGTCAAAATGCTTTACAAACTTGAACTCTTGATTTGGAAGGAGGATCCCAGCAGACCCTTATGGAAGAGCAGTGTTCCCCCCTGGAAGAAGAACAGGCAGACAGACTGTAGACTGCGGGATCAATGACACCACTTGCTCAAAGCCACAAAGAGAAGCAGTGTCATGCTTTAGTCACTCGATTCCTTCCTCAGTGTTTACACAGAAATTTCTGTTAATGTAGTCTGAGCTAACATGTAGCCACTGTTTATGTTGGCTTTTAGTTTTGTCTGATGAAAAAATCTTGAGAGCAGTGAGGAATACTCAGTTACTCTGTTTCCTTCCAAAGAAACCCATTTATTTGGTGCTTGGTCTGCAGCTGTTAGGCAGCTCAGCACATCTTCTGTCCTTTCCTTTTGTGGTGGCTCTGCCTTGGCTCGAGCTGTGCAGCTGAAAGGGAGATGCCACTGACCTGAACAGTGTCACCACAGCTCGGTGTCACGGGCACCACAAAGCCACCAGGGCATTCCAACAACTGAGCTGAGCTTCCCCAGCTTTCTGCTGTAATGTCTTATATCTTAGGATGTGAATTTTTGCTATTATTTTTTTTGATTTCTTTTCCTTCCATTCCATTTATTTTTGTAACTAGGTGATTTAATAAAACTGGCTGTTTTGTATAATTTTTAAGGCGTGTGTTTTCAGCCACGAGGCTTTGTGAAAGTGTCACAATATGAGCGTACACATGCGAGGAGGGGACGAGCTCCCTGCAGCTGTTCCCGTACAGGGGCTGCACAAACCATCCCCAAACTCGCCCGTGCTCTGGGGACCTCACCCCGGTGCAGGGCGAAGCTCGCTTTAGTCCTCCAATAAACGGAGGTTTGGCAAAAAAAACCTTCGGGACGTGCGGCGGAGGCGAACCGGCGGCTGCCTGCGGGGCTCCGGGGAGGTGTGTGGCAGGAACGGGGCTCTGCTTCCAGCAGAGCCCGGAGCAGCCCCGGTGTGACCGAGGGACGCCGTCGGTCCGCGCCGAGCCCGCGGCAGCCCCGGCGGGGGCGGCTCCGTGCGCCCGGCGCTGCCGTCACTTCCCGGCCGGCGCGCTTCATCCATCACTTCCTGCCGGGGGCTCCACGAGGAGGACGCCGCTGTCCCCACCTGTCCCGGACAGCTCTGGGACCCGGGGTGGCAATGGCCAGCCTGGCCGCCCAGGACTCCTACCTGCAGGGCTTGGCCAGGAGGGCCGGCGTGCAGCACGCCCCGGAGTCGCGGAAGAGGAAATTTGGTACTGGGATTGTGATGTTTCGGTTCTGTCCTCTCCGGCCGGTTTTTTGGGAGGCTGGGCGCGACAGCCGTGCCCCCACGGGGTGCTTGGCCCGGGATCGTGCCCGTTTCTAACAAAAAACCGATCTGCTCAAACACGGAGCTTCTGAACACGTTGCACACATTGTACTGGGAGCCCTGGAAGTCAGTGGTCTCCATTCTCTGTTATGATGGATGTGGAGAGCTGGGATTTTACAGAAGTGTGCAAGGACGTTTGGTCTAATTAAATAAATCCTGAAGTGTATAATTTTTGAACATTTAGATACGCATTACGATGCTGGAACGTTAGTGTTCAGTAATAACAGAATGTTATGAGTGGGAATGTAGCATTGTTCTCTTTTGTGTAATTTGTTTTTGCCTTCTAGTGTCTAAGCCAGGCCAGCCCGAGGATGCTGGCAGACAGGTCAAAAAGCAGAAGAAAAAGAAGCCCAGGAAGCAAACTGAGAAGAAGAATGCTCCTTCAGCCAAACAGGTGGTTTCTAACAGCAGTAAACCCACTCCAGGACAGAAAGCAGCCCCTCAAGCCAGCAAATCATCTCCACAGGGTGGCACACAGAACAGAAAGGAGAGTTTGGCTGCAGGTAAGAATCTCAGCTTTGCCACGGTCTGATTAAAGTGACCTGGGCTGAGCTGGCTGCTTTTCACTTGCTTCACACAAGTCTAGTTTGGAAAGCCTAAATTGAGAACATCTTTGCTTATTTCATGTGCCCAGAAGCTTTTGCCTATGGACAGGAATTTGTGCTATCACCACTGGGTGGCTCTCTGGAAACGGTGTTTAACTGAACTGCAGAGGTTTTGTGCATGTGAGTAACTTTGGGAATTACACGTGGATACAATCCCCGTCTTGCCAGCTCAGCTTTTTTTTATGACAATGAAAAGCCAGATCAGAGAGAAAAGATGTCCTGAGCCTCTCTGTTCCACAAGCTTGGTACTTGTCTTTGGCTTGCCAGGCAGCCCCAGGGCATGCCAGGCCACTGCTGGCAGTGTTGAATGATGAAAGGGGAAATTCTAAAGAAACTAATGAAATAGAAACTCTGCGTTTGTTTGGATTTTCCGTTCCATTCACAGCATCTAAAGAGTTCCCAGAGTTTTTCCCATAGCCAGAGAAAGTGCTACTGTTTAGCTGGTGCTGCTTTTTAAGTATTTTTATTTTCTCCCTCTCATTTTCAGGAAGTAAAAGTGAACTGAGTTCCCCTTCTGTTTCTGCAATCAGTCTGTTGCGTCAGAGACTCCATGAGAAGATTAAAAAGGCTTCTGGACAGGTATGGGGACTCTGCATGTGTATCCATATGTGTGTTTGTGCACCTGAAATCCTCCCCAGCCTCCCAGGGTTTGAGCTGATTCCAGCTCATAAGGAATTGCCTATAGGGATTGCCAGGTGACCTCTGTATATTCTGTGGAAAAACCTGTGAGAAAAGATGTGGCCAGCTTCAAAGAGAACGTGCCTTTGGTGATTTTTAGGAAAAAGCAAAATGGTGAGAGCCTGCAAGAGAACAGCTACAGGCTGTTGGGGGAAAGCAAAGGGTTTGAAATGTTGTAATGTGTGTAGTGTCTCTAACAGCTGAGACACAGCTTCACATCACAGGTGGTGCTTCTGAGGAGGAGTTTGAAATCAGGAACTGAGGGACAGCCCACTTTTACTTCTGCTTTAACCCTTTAAGGCTTCTCATTCATGTCCATCCTTCTCCTTAGGATAATGCCAAGGAGTTAACCCCTGCAGTGCTGGAGAAGAGGCAGCGGAGGAAGTATGAGAGAGAGAGAAAGAAACGCCGACGGAAGGAGCTGAAGATGAAGGCAAAAATGGAGAAGAAAGAGACTGAGGAGGTACCAGCAGAGCCAGAAAACAAAAAGGAGGAGAGCAAAGCTGACATTGTCTTCAACAGAGTTAAAGTTCATGAGGAGAATGAGTTAAACAAGGTCCAGAAGAAGAAAGAGAAGAGGAAAGCAGTGAAGGGCAATATCACTCCTCTGACAGGCAAGAACTACAAGCAGCTGCTGAGCAGGCTGGAGACCCGGAAGAATAAACTGGAGGAGCTCAAGGAGAAGGACGAGAAGAAAGCTCAGGAGCTGGAGACCAAGATAAAATGGACAAATGCCCTCTATAAGGCAGAAGGGGTGAAGATCCGTGACGATGAGGAGCGTCTGAAGGAGGCCCTGAAGCGCAAGGAGAAGCGGAGAGCCCAGCGCAAGAGGCAGTGGGAGGAGCGGACTGTGAGGGTGGTGGAGAAGATGCAGCAGCGGCAGGACAAGCGCAAGAAGAACATCCAGAAGAAGAAGAAGGAGAGGATAGAGAAGAAGAAAGCCAGGGCCCGGAAGAAGGGCCGAGTTCTGCCAGAGGACTTGAAAAAAGCTGGGTTAATGTGAGAGCGTGGCAGCTCTGCTGGCATTGGGGTTCCAAGGTCTGTCACACGGGGTGTGTCACTGTCCCAGGCTGTGGGGCAGGCACTGCCACAGCTTCCCAGCCTCATCGTGCTAAAAAAAACAGTTGTATGTTTGTTAATAAAGTTTTCTATCCTAAAAAAAACACCTTCTGGCTGATTTCTAATAGGAATTATTACTTTTCTAAAGGAGAAGTGTCAGTTGCTGTTGCTTCCTCTGATGGGCAGCACAGTGTCTTTGCATCTTCTGGGAATAGGAAAGAGGAAACAAAAAGGCAAAAACACCAAACATGGGTTTCATCTCAACACAAGGATAGTAAAACCTTTGCTTATATGAACTTGGATGATACCTTTGGAAAGGAGAGTGAATCTTGGGTTCATTTACCCTCCCCACCACAAGAAAACTGGAAATAATTTTCAATTTTAGGCAGTGCTGTTCATTTATAAGTTGTGTTTTATCACCATTAGGTCAATATAGACATAAACACATGTATACATGCATGGACTTATTGTGGAGCTAACTGATCTTTTTGGACCATCCATGGGACACACTGACTGATCCTGATGGTAGAAGGATTGGCTCCAAGTCTGTCTTTGGCAATAATGAAAAATTAGGTTAAAAAAAAAGTTTCTGGCAACCACAGGGGCCTGCAAGGGTTTTGTTCTCTGCACAGTTCACCAGTGCAAAATTGTATTGGGTCGTTACCAATTTTGTCCTTTATTGTTGTTGATACAGAAATACAAATGTGAACTTGAGCAGCTGTTTGCCCAGCTCAGGAGGGAAATTACAGCTTGGCTGCTGGCAATTCAGCCTGGGGAGGATTGGTGGGAACAATCCATCCAGAAAATAAAGCAACTCTGCCCCTGAGATCAGTCAAACCTTGCTGATGCCCTCCTGATCTTGGTTGGTGTGAACTGATAATTTGTACTGAGCACAGGGATGTTATAAATTGAGTCTGATTGAATTCTCAATTCTCTTGATCTGGCTTTTTGGAAGAAGCTCTTTTCTGCCTTATGACTAAAGCTGATGAATGTGCTGTGAGGGAAATGCAGGCTGTGCTGTGCAGTGCTTCCCAGCTGGATCCCTGCCAGAGCCCAGGTAACTCCCTGGTGCAGCTGTAATCTGAGACTCTGCAGTGGATCTGTGCTAAATTTGTGTTCAAGCCTCAGGTGTGACTGAACACATTTGTGTTCCTGCAGCCTGGAGTCCAGCAAGGAAACCTCTTCTTGGCACAGATGGAGCTCTCCCCATGGATATCTTCACTTTCTGAACAGCCCTGCACTCACAGCTTGCCACTTCAGTTGTAGAAATCTGAAATCCACGTTTGGAAATCTGAAATAGTTGCTCTGCAAAGAATATTTTCCATGGAACGGTCTACAAGTGAGGTATTTATCAGCTGTCCAGAATGCTTTCCAAGCAGGGCTTGAAGATAAAGTAATGCTTTGTTCTGGGAGGTCAAGCAAGTTCATTTGGGAGTAACAGAGCTACTTTCAGCCATATCCCTTTTAAAAAACTCTCTGAACAAAGTCGAGGAACCTGAGTAACTATTAAAAATGCTTTAGCTGGGATTTTTATTTGGTTGGAGATTCTTTCATCGGCTACAACCTCGTCTATTTCATTTCTGTTTGTATTCATGGCAAACTGTAAATCAGTTGAGGTAAACCTCACTGAGGCTTTAGATGCAAAGGATGTTTCACTCTCAGCTGGCTCTAGTGCTCTGGCAGGTTTGTAGCACAGAAACTGAAAATAAGAGGGGAATGCATCAGCTGTGCTCCTAATGATGTAATATTTCAAAATATGTGTACTTCTCTTCCTGAGGGATTAGATGTTTACTCTGTAAAAAGACACATGGAAGTGCTCTATGTCCATTACATCTGGGTGTTTGGTTATTTTAGTGCTGAAACTGCACTAAAATAACCAAACACCCAGATCTTTTTTTATTCTTTGTTAATTTTACTGCCCGGTTTGAGGACAACTATCAGTCCCCTTTCTTCTCTCTGTTCTTGATCCTCTGTCCTTCCCCATCACCCAAATTCTGTGCTCTCAGCCTCTGTATGCCATGGAGATAGAGCATGGGTCAGGTGCAGAAAATGGGAATCGCCAGGAGACTCTGCAAAGTGGGATTGTTTGTGTATTCCTTTGTGCTTTGGGTGGAAATGTTGAGAGGATATTTATGCAATTGGAAAGTGGCATCAAGCTGGGAGGGGCTGCAAACCCCAAGGAAAGCAGGATTCAGTCAGGGCTTGGTGTTTTAGAAAAACAAATAGCCTGAAAATTGAGTTTGTTTCCATGAAGTCAAGTACAAGGTTTTATGTGCCTCCCACCTGGCTGGGAGAGGTTCCACAGAAAACACATGGATTGCATTTGGGCCCAGGCTGAATGTCATCCCAGTGCTGAGGTCCTGCAAAGCAGGCAGATGTCCTGTGGAATGCATGAACTGTGGCAGCTTTTCAGTTTTGGGGGGCAATCCAGCTTTACTTCACTGCTGAGGGCTCAGCAGGGGAATTTGGGGGTGCTTTGACACCAATTTCATGAGAATGGGCTGATTAGAGTCCAGGCAGAACTGACAGAAATAATCCCAGACCTTGTAGTTAGACAATTACAAAGATTGAAGGAGGTCACAGAAGAGAAGAGGGAAGGAAACATCAGAGTATGGAAAGGGAGAGTGCTCAGACCTGGACTGCAGCAGGTGAGATCCTGGCTGGAAATTTGGAAGCCTGCTGATGAGAAGGGCTTTCCTACCTGCTCTGTGTGCAGCCATCTCTCAAAGAATGCCTGAAAAACAACAGTTTGAACCCCCCTCTGCACATTTATCTGCTTTGTGCTGGAAGCATCAAGCACAAGGTAAGAAACGTGGCACTGACAAATCCTGGTGTCAGCATAGCAGCTCTCATGACACAACTAGCACAGGAATGAGATAAAGCTGGTCAAAACACAGAACATCTGCCTGGGGGGGAAGGCTGTTTGTACTTCTTTCTGTGTTTTTGGATCTGCAGCACTTTCAGGCAAGAATCCAGAACTGCTCAGCATGAATCCATGAAGGCTTTAAGTGGTGGAAGGCCTTAAGATATATATTTATATAGATGCACACATATACATAGATATATGTGTATATATATAGTTAGTCAATATTTTTAGGTCGGATTTTGTGATGCTTCCTGGTGAAAGCTAATTAGATGCTCTCAAAGGAAAGTGAAGGAGAAGCACCAGAGAGAGGATTTCTGTGTGACACAGTAAAGCAAATTAAAGGACTTCTTGCCACTTGTCTTTTTTCAGCCAAAGAAATTAAAGCAGGAAAATAATTCCTGCCTGTTCAGATCCATTGGCACTGTCCTGTGCCTTACCAAGGGCCAGCAATGACCTCTGGGATTACTCCAGCACCCTCCAGGAAGCATCATGTACCAGTTCCTCCCCTTAGTATAAATGCTACCAGCTTTATAAATGGTTGATAAACAGCCTTTTTCTCTATCTATTTTCTTTTTCCTTCTCTGCAGGCTCCAATCACATTCTAGAAAGTAGAAAGCTCTGACTGGAAATACATCTGGTTGGGTCCTGAGGAAGCAGCAGTGGGATGAAAACCCACAAGCCTGATCCACAGCTCCCTGCTGCTGTCCTCACTGAAGGTGATAATGAAAGGAATAACAATTAATGTGCTTGTACTGGAGGCCCCACACAAATGCATTTTGTGTTCATCATGGGGACCAACCAAAATTCACATTGTGGGCATTTCCTGTAAACAGAAAAAGAGATTGATTTGAGCTTTTAAGGTAAGACTGCTGGGCTTGGGAAAGTTGATTTTCATGGCTGTTGTAAAGGAAGTCATTTCCTTGGCTTAATCTTTACCCAAGGTGCATTAGGATTGTGAAATGTTCCTTTGCTGGTCTCACACCTCAGTTTACCTTTCCTTCAGGCACCTTTGCAGGGAGTGCCCCGGTGGTTCCTGGGCTGTGAAAGGTGGAGTTAATCAGTCCAGGTGATAAACTGTGTTAGCTCTCTGATAGGACAGGCGTGAGTGATTTGATTCAATTGCAAAGGGTGAGTGCTTGAGGTGAAAGAATGGAATCTACAGAAAGTGGAATGAAATCAGAAAGGCTCCCCATGCACTAGAGCTGGGGTTAAAGCTCCCTGAAATGAAGAACTTGCTCAGACATTTTACAGATCTGCCTCAGTGCCCTGGCTCTTACAGTCTGATGCCTTCTGTGTTTATCACTTCAGAAAGACTGAAAGAGAAGCTACCAAGAAGCTTCATCCTCCTCTGAGAAATGATCCGTTTCTCTCAGAGTGAGGCACTTACAGCCCTCTTCCCTTTGTATTTGCTCTTTGCAGAGTGAAAGCAGCTGGAATTCAGAAGCTGCCCTTCCTTCTCCTCCAGAAGATATGATTTCCAGGAAGGTGCTGCTGGGATCTCTTGTCTGCCTGGGTGGTGTTGCTGCAGTTATCTGGTAAGCATTTGCTGGCCAGCTCGGTCATACCTAAAACATCCTGTGTAGATCCTGTGCTAAAACTCCTAGAACACAAAAATAAAGGCTGTGCATTTTGTGGGAAGCCCCTCTTTCAGCTGTAAGAAAGAACAGCAATTTGTGTAATAGATAAAGGAGCACTGGTAGAGAGAGAAGGCCCTGAGGGAAAGAGGAAAAAAGAGCAATTGGGTCCAAATCAGGCTGCTAACACCGTAGTGACTCACAAACAAATGCTTGAGCAGAGAATATTCCAGTTATATTTCAGCTCAGGCCTTAGCAGAGGTGATTATCTGTCTCTTCACACAGTCCAAACTCACTCCAGCATCACCAGGGACTATCAGACATCACAGCTTTCAAACACAGAATTTTGTAACTGAATCTTCTGACAACTGAGTATGGCTTATGGAGCAAGCTCAAACATCCTCGGAAGGGAATCTGAGATAAGGCATTTCTGTTAAGTATGAGAATATTAATTATTAAATTATTAGGAATTATTACATTTTTATGATGCTGCAGTTTGCTGTACTTTCACCTTGTGGGTAGCTGCATTTTGCCTCAGCAGCAGGACACTGTGTTAAAATGTGAACACAGCAGATCCTACACTAATTAATAAAGTAGACATGGAGTTAGCCAGAGTTACTTCTCAAAATCTTTGCCAGGTCCTTAGGTGATGTTGGAAAATCCT